ACACACACAAAAAGACAGAGACACACACAAAAAGACAGAGACAGAGAAAGAGACAGAGACACAGAGAGAAAGACACACACACACATGCACATACACACAAAAGACAGAGACAGAGAGATACAGAGAGAATGAGACACACACACACACACACACACACAAAGGCAGAGACACAGAGAGAGACAGAGAGAAAGAGAGAGAAACACACACACACACAAAAAGACAGAGACAGAGAGAGACAGAAAGACACACACACACACATGCACGCACAAAAGACAGAGAGAGAGAGAGAGAGATCAACAGAATATCAAAATAAACAGGGTTAGTCAGTCTCGGTGCGCAGTCCGTCAGTATCAGTATCAAGAGAGATCATCAGTGCAAAAGAGAAAAACGAAAGAGAATTAAACCACGATCTATAGCTCCCTCTTAGGACAACTTGTATCATGATTAGCCAATCACAACACAGCCCGAGACATGACAGTGTTTCTCCTCAAAGCTACAAACTTCTATATTTGTAGTTTATACATCGTCAACCCAACGACGATATTTACATATACGTAACAGCAAGCTCCTCTGCGCGTGCGCGCGAACCCCTGCGACGTTTGTGGCAACGCTCATGCGCGCAGGGCTACAACCGCCCAGGGTGAAAGTAGAACAAGTAGCGAGTGCCCAAGATGACACTCGTGTGAGTGTCGCGTGCGCATGCGGAGACAGGCGCACCAGACAGCAACTCACAGACGGCCCGGTGGCAAATGAGCCCGCAACCGGATGATAGGCCGCGGCTCCGCGGGTTTGTCGACCCCCTTCGCTAAACGGTCGACGTAAACCAGGGACTCCTCAACCCCCTCCAGTACATGTTGAAAAATCGGGCTTGCGGATGAGATTTGCGGATGGCGCTCGCTCTCGTGCAAAGCTCCGGAGTCGCCTGCATGCGCCTGGGCTCGCTCGCCCGCCGTGGGTGCTGAAATGTCCCCTCCAAACCAAGCCGGGAAAGTTTGGGGGAACTCCGCCGTGCAGCCGTGCCGTTTCCGTTCCCAGGTATTGTTCTCGGCACCATCTTTGTCGGCGGGTCCCTCATGGCCGGACAAGAGATGACGCCCGGGGACCTCATGTCGTTTTTGGTCTCCTCTCAGACCGTACAACGGTAAGGCCAGCCCCCGTCTCGTCCCGTCCCGTCCCCGTACAACGACGGATGATCCGCCTGGCTCTTTTCAAAAGAGAGCCGTCTGCTTCTCTTTCTCGATAGGTCCATGGCCAGTATGTCCGTCCTCTTTGGACAGGTAGGTGGGGCTGGCTGGGGGGGGGAGGGACTCTCGGCGACATCGTTCAGGTTGTCCTCGATTTAATGACAGTTCGTTTAGTGTCCCGGGGTCCAAAAAGCGTTTCTCGTGTTTCCCGTGACTGTCGCATCATCCCCCGTGGTTGCACGATATACCTTCGGATCTTTGGCAACTGGTTCCTTGCAGTGTACCCGGGGAGTGGGGTTCGGGGGGGGGGTGCTTCCTGTGGACCTTCCCCGTTTTGTGACCATAATCCACGGGCAAGCCCGATCCCCTTAACCGCTGTGAAACCAAGTTAACACCTGAAGAAACTGGGGAACGGGGCTTAAAGGAATGGAGCGCCTTTGCGGTCGCCAATTTGAGGGACGGTCCTGGATCGTCCCCGCTGGCGTTTTTTTATTCCCCCCGGTCAGGAGGAGGAGGAGGAGGGCCCGGGACTGAGAGGCCCGGCTCGTACCTCGAGACACCTCCACCTCCCTCCCACCCCCGCCCCCCACCCCCCCTCCGCCTCTCTTCCTTCCCTCCGGCAGGTCTTACGAGGCATGAGTGCTGGGGCACGCATCTTTGAGTTCATGAACCTGACGCCGGAGATCCCTCCGTGCGAGAGGCAAGCACTCACCTGCAGCATGCTGACGGGCCACCTTGAGTTCCGCGATGTGACCTTCAGGTAAGGGCGGAGGCTTTCCCGGGTTCGGAGCGCGCCATTTCTGGCGGAGTGGGGGGGGTGGAGAAAGAGAGAGAACGAGAGAGCAGATCCGTACAAGCGCTGTAGGAGCGCCCCTCGTACGAGCCCCTGCCGTACGAGCGCCCGCCGAACGGACGATCCGTCCACGGGAAGTGTGACCGCCTCGTGCGGCACGGATCGGGCGTCGTCCACGAAACCGGGTGCGAGAAAGGATTGGACGGGAGGGATCACAAGCGGGGAGAAGAATGGAAGGAGGGGGTCCCCTCCATGGTCAGCCTCCCTTAGGCCTCACAACCTCTTTTCCTGTCGTCCTCCCCCACCCCCATCAAGCTATCCCACCCGGCCGGGCTACAAAGTCCTCGAGAACTTCAACCTCTCCATCCCGGCCAACAAAATGGTGGCCATCGTGGGCCAATCCGGGAGCGGTGAGTCTCGCCTTCGCCTTGAGGAAGGGGGGTGGCTCTGTGGGTGATTTCTCCACACCCCCCCAGCAAAAGGCAGCGATTGGCTGAAGGGATCCAGCCACCTCCTCCCCCTCCCCCTCTACCTCTTGTCTGTCTATTTTATCGATTGATCGTGTAGATACAGGCCGAACTGTCTGTCTACATCCATCCATCCATCCATCCATTTATCTGTTATCGGTCCATCCATCCACTTCCCTCTCTCTCTATCTCTCTCTTTCTCTCCCTATCATCTGTATCAATCCATCATCTCTTTTATCTATCACCTATTGTTTATGTATTACCTGTCCCTAGATCCATCCATCCATCCATTTATCTATGTCTGTCTGTCCATCCATCCATCCATCCATCCATCCATCATCTCCCTGCCTTCCTGCCTGCATCTATCTATCTATCTATCTATCTATCTATCTATCTATCTATCTATCTTATCCTATCCTATCCTATCCTATC